AGGAATTATAAGAGCTGGGTTCTAATTCCAAGTCCACCATTTCTTGGAACTGTCAGATTGCTAGGTCCATTAGCCAACTGTCTTGGCCCATTTCATTCATTGCTGAATCCTCAGCCATAGCCTGGTGCCTGGGACAGAGTTGTTGTCATAAATATTTGTTCAATTGTTGAGTGAATAAATGAATAACCTTTCTGGACTTACTTCTTTATTTCTAAACTTGCTCTACCTCGACCTACTTTACAGGTTTCTGTAAAGATCAAATGAACAGTAATTATAAATGCTTTGAAAACTAAAAGTCATTGTAAAATGCATAGAGTATATGCAGAGAGTATTGAGACTGGATTTGTGCCATTTGTCACACTCTATGGACTGACCTCCTCTGCATAGTTTTCTCTTATTGAACATCGTAGAAAACAGACTCGCCCCTCAGACCATTAATGGTAAAGCTCTGCCCAACTTACATTTCTTTTATGACTTGAAGTCTAATCATCAATGTCCTCTCCCTAGGTAAATTTAAGAAAGAGGGTTTGAAGGCCTGTTGAGGTTAGAATTTGTGCTAAGATTTGGGGTAACACAAGGACTAATACAACCCATATTAACATAAAGTTAAAAAATAACAACCACTGGTCCTTAGATGGGAATCCATTAGACAATTTTATATAACAGATAGTAGTTTCTTAGTTTGTTAATGAAAATATCCAACAGAAAAAAAAATTTTCACTCAATATATTTAATTAGATGCCAGATTATAGATGACCCTAAATGTAAGGACAAGAAATTTAAACTTTATTTTATAGGCAACTTGGTGGGGGAGGCATTAACTGTTGTTAAGCTAGGAAAACAAAAGAACAAAGTGGTATTTTAGAAAGAAGCATCTGAGAGATGGTATCTTAGACAACTTGGAGAAAATATATTTGATGGCTATTGCGTCAGTCTAAGCAAAAAGTGATGAGGTCTTGATTTAAGTATATGGGAAGAAAGCCCTAGCTGGTTTGGCACAGTGGGTAGAGCATCGTTCTGTGGACCGAAGGGTCCTGAGTTTGATTCCAGCCAAGGGCACATGCCCAGGCTGCAGACTCCATCCCCAGTAGGGGGCATGCAGGAAGCAGCCAATCAATGATTCTCTCTCATCATTGATGTTTCTATCTTTCTCTCCCTCTCCCTTCCTCTCTGAAATCAATAAAATATATTTTTAAAAAAGAATAATGGAAAAAATATAAAGCATAAATGAAAGGACTTCTAATTCTGAGACTATACAGGCTAACATGACCTGAAAACTCTTCCTTCAGGTATACTTAGGATTGCAGGATAAAATACAACAAAACTATTTTTAAAGCAAACTTAAGATCACAGGAAACAGGGAAATCACAGAAGGAGAAAGAATAAAACAAAATAAGTTAGCATGTGAACTAATGCTCTGTTTGCCCTCAGAACTGGATCTTCATAACCCTTGGAACTTGGGTTTTAATGGCCACAGTAGATAAGGCCTTGAGCCTGAACAAGATGGGGGTGGAAATGAGACTCACACACAAAGCTAAGGCCTGAACCATCAAGGCTGAATATTGACAAAAAAAAAAAAAAAAGGAAAAAAATAGAAAAAGCTAAAATTCCCCAACCACCTCAGCAAAATGACACAGAAAACTCATTTGTCTCTCTTTGTGGAAAAAGTCTGTCCTGAGAATTTGAGAATTTGAAACCCTGCACCTGTTCTACACATGAATTCGGTTTTAAAAATTGCCCTACTGGAATGGGCCAGCCACTTCCAAGCCAAGAAATTAATGTAAAAACGGGTCCCTGGCGAGTCATATTGTGGGAGTGCCTGGAAGAAGCAATTACAAAAACACGCTGGAGAGACATTTTACAATCCAGAATACAGGTAGTTTCACAAAAATCAGCAAACCCCACCCCAAATAAACTCACAATAAAAGAAATTACAAAGCACTGAAGGGACAAATCCATCATGAGCAAGAGTCAAGAGAAATTACAGTTAACGGAATGCACTACCATCACCTCTCACCCACCAAGGAATGGAGCTATTAGAACAATCTGAAAGAGCATACAAAATAAACATGCTTAGAATGATTACAGATATTACAGAAGGAAAGAAATCCACAAGAAAAGCATAGGATGCCATCAGAAGGAAGGAAGGAAGGAAGGAAGGAAGGAAGGAAGGAAGGAAGGAAGGAAGGAAGGGGCAGATTTAGAAAAGAACAAATGGAAAGTCTAAAAATAAAATACATAGTTATTAAATTAAAAACTCAGTGGATGGATGAAGCAGTAGATTAGACATATGTGAAGAGGTATTTTTGAACAAGAAAATGAAGCTAAGGCAACATACCTGAATGTGGCTCAGAGAAATAATGAGATGGAAAATTTGGAAGGGAAGTTAAGATTTTAAAAAGGCAGCATGAGAAGGTTTAATTAAGTCAAAGGATTTCCAGAAATGAAGGAAAGAGAATGGAGTTGAGGCAAACTTGGGAAAGGGAATGGTTAGAATCTTCTGATTTAAAAACATGAATCTTCACGGTGGAGCAGCACAATGAATCCAGAGCAGCATATGTAGCAATCTTCTTTGTGATGTGCCCGGTCTTCAAGCACCATCAGGCTAGTTCTCTGGGGATTTGAGGTCACCTTGACATGGTAGGGTGCATTAGCCGAATCAAATGGGCGGATGACATATCGTTTAGCTTTGTTTTTTAAAGGATGGAGAAGACCACTCCTCTTGTGTATCTGCAGGCATACATGTGACTTCTGTTTGAAGTGACTGAGCAGGAAAGGCAAGGGAGGGGTCCTGTTGCTCAGATTCGCCATTTTGCAAGGATTGGTCTGGGAGTATGTAGAATGTGGATTAGCATGAGGGGAGGGGAGTGAGCTGGGAAAAATGCATCAATGAGTGTGCATTTTTCCTGTCGCTCTACATACTCACATACATGTGTAAGTGTACAAAGAGTTTTAAATACATACATGTGCTATCCTCTTTGCTGGCTCACATCCTGAAATGGAATTTGAGACTCTATAGGCTTTCGCTGCTCTTCCACTTCCATTAAAAGATTTCTGGACTTCATGCTGTCTGTTCAGCTATAATACACTCATTCTCCCCATTTAAAGGAGGTGTTTGCTTTGGGTTTTTTATATTGGTGGTGATGGTTTTCAAAGCAGAAAGCGACCTCTGCCTCCACTCTTGTTATTTCAATAGGGACATAAAAGAGAAGGGCCTACATTCCCATTTCCCATGGAAGATACCCTGTGCGGGAAGCCTCAAGGGCTAAAACCCTGAAAAAGATGCACCATCCCATATCTGGGCATTCCTCTCCATTCGGGGGTTTTGGTAGGAGTCGCTTTTGTAGATGTCTGTTCAGTGCCTTGGTGAGTTTTTTCCTTTTAGTAATAATGTCATCAGTTTCCCCGTGGATACTCTGCAGTGTCCTAAAGGTAGTTCTCCATGGATACTATCAAGCCCCTCATAACAGAACCCTAGAGGGCTTCTCAGGGGCCACAAGTGTCAATAGCTCTTACAGGGACTGAACAGAGCTTCCGGCTCTGCAGGCAGCACTTCCCTAGCCTGGAAGCCCACCCTCCCCTAAACGCCACATTGCCTGACAAGGGAAGCAGCAACAAGCCCAGGAACACTGCCTTGTCTCAGAGGGCATTCCCTTATTAGTCCATGGTTTCCTCTGAGGGGCTTATTATATAGCTCTACCTCCCTGCAGTGTTTAACCTTGGATGGCCATGAAATTTTACAAGAAGTTCCAAAACCAACTTTAAAGTCCCTTATGGTCATAAAATGAAGTTTAACTCAAGCCCCAGGAGCAATTGTAGGGAACCCATAGCACTTGGAATAAGTATATAAATTTATTTCTGCTAAGAGCATCAAGTTCCGTCTAAAGCTAGGCACGCGCGCGCGCGCACACACACACACACACAGACACACACACAGAAAGAGAGAGAAGAGGAAGAGGAGGAGGCGAAGGAGAAGGAGAAATACCATTCCTTTAGAGGTGTTTGACTGCTATCCAAATAAGTGTGCTGCACGACACACACACACTCACCAGATTACGTGCATATATGGTATTACCACCCAAGTGTAAGTTCCAAGGTTTACTTCAATTCTTCACCCATCTGAACGTACTTATTCAAATATACTGAATGGTGTTTGTTAATGTGCAGAGAGTTTTTCCATTAAGACCCCTCCAAATAGACTGGTGTGTCTAAGTTTTGAATCATGTGCTATGACGAGGTGACGTGTCAATATTCAGGCACTTCAAAGAGAGACACTTGGCGCTGCATCTACTTGACACCAAATATCTTAATAAAAATTGAAGGCAGTGGATCTCAAACACTAATTTTCTGCATATCCAGATGGTTGGCATTAAATAAAATGTCTGGGTGGTGCACAATGATTCACTCTTGAAAAATAAAGTGAGTAAGTTTCCTCATCAATTTTGGAATGAAAGAAAAATCTGGCAGCTTCAGCATGATTTTAACAAATAAATCTTTATGGGAAGCATTGTTTTATTGGTGATTACCTCTGGACGCCAAGAGGAACTAGAAGCGTGTCCACTTTCTCTATGAGCCTTTCCTCATACTCTGCAGGATCAAGAATAGCTTGTTTTCTGGTGTAATGACCAACTTAGCCTCTGAAAGTCTCTGGTAAAAGTCACTGCTGCATATTAGTAGCCTTTTAATTTTAATGTAATTTGTTAATATAAATAATTT